TCGTAATAACCTTATAATATGATGAAAAAACAGCACGGAACTTGTCCGATATTACTTGTTTACATTTGGTGAAACCATATACTGATGTTGACATTTAAAAACCTAAGTTAAGCATGATTGTTACCGAGAGGTCTAACAATCAAAACTTTCTGCAGTCAATTACTCTCAACAAGCAATCGATGAGACTAGAAATTATTATCCAATCAGCGTGCATTTAACATGATATAGCTAGTAGTCACGTCATCGAGTATGTACTCGTTTCTTCTTCTGCCCAGTTTTCTTTCTACCGTGTTATAGGCTCCCTATTAATCATTTGCTAAATGACTTTTTGATTTAAATTATTTGGATAGTAGAACATACGTAGTTTTTTGCTTTAGATTTTCTGATTTCGTCGAAGTCGAAAAAATGTCATTTGTAACATTCTGATTATACCAGGCTTCTGAAAAACAGAATAGTTTTAGTAAAGTTTAGTAGTCCAGTTCTCTTTATCACGCCCTGTTAGTTTGATTTATTAGTATCAATCATTAAAATATCTGTTCGTGATCTTGAAAAGGTGCGCTTTAACTCAACCTGGCTGCAAAATTAATAACGCGTTTGTGTTATTTTAACATGACTTTGCAATATGTTTTATTAATTATTTTTTGGCGTGGTTGAGAGAGATAATATTTTAGTATCAGATAAACTTCCAAGTCACTGTTGGCGACTGACTGTAGCTACTTATTCATTGTGTGGGAGTTCACGCGAATAATTGTTTCTGCCAACAGGAATTGCAGTACCAATGCCAGGCGGCCCACTTGATTAACGAAGATGACCAAGATAGGGGTTCCTACTACAAAGACTATGCGGGGAATATCGTGCGTGCCTGGGCGGGCGCAGAGTCTTACATCGATGTGGGATGTGCCTGTGAGTTGACCGGATCATGTCCACCCGGTGACACCTGCCAATGTGACGCGATGAGGCCAGATACGTGGTATGATAGCGGGCACGTGATTGATAGAAGTAAACTTCCGATATCCGAGTTACATTTTGGTGACGTTTTTGTTGGCGGAGAGTCGTCAGCCGAAGCCGCTGTAAAAGAATTACAGTGCGGGCCAATACCTTTCGGTAAATATTTTTGATTTATATCATTATGACACAGTCGATTTTATAGCAGTGAGTTCATTATGTAGCGGGTGTTTGGGCGAATTCAACTTCGAATCTACAGATCACGTGCTCATGACGTAGAGTGTAATATGTCACATATGTATGATGTCACAAGTATTATCATACATCTATCACGTGGACAACATAATTCCGTATTCTATAAAAAGCCGCATTTGCATTCGTTACAACGTTTAATTCCCTTTTTGATATGGAATAAACTATGTCACTATAATTTAATGCGTTTCTGGTCATCAAAGTCAGTCACATTCGAACACTTTCTTTTTGTTTACACTGTGGACGCAGGGATAGTAGAACGCGAGATGGAAATCAAAACCCAGTCGTCAATGAATGCAAAAAAAAAGATACACGAGAATACCGCGAAGTGTGTACTTAGGCAGTACAGGATCGCTCATGCTATGCATCAACCGATAGCCCCCGTGTATACTTTGTGATTTTCTCGTAATAACCTGTATCTGTATGCAATGCCACCCTTTGAATGATAGCTATATATATGAGAGCTATCATGTCCTGACTAGATATTTAGGGGCCCAAGCCCAAAGGGCGAGGCCCCTATTCTTATTGTTCGGTTTTTTAGGGGCCCAAGCCCAAAGGGCGAGGCCCCTATTCTTATTGTCCGGTTTTTTCTTCTTCTTTCTTC